AATTTTTAACAGGTTATAATTCAAGGGAAACGATTAAGGTCCAGAACGGGACAGTTTACTCATGTGAAAGTAACCCTAGATGTATTTAAAAAACTTTTCACTCAACATTTGACCCCCGGCATAGCGAAAAAGCAATGGAAAAAAAAATAATAAACCAAAAACACGTTTTAAAAAAGAAACTCAAAACAATTGCCGTCTTGGTTCAACAGCTGCCGCAGCAGAATGAAAATGCAAAAGGCTTGAGTTTCACTTGAGATTTACAAGGCCATTTTGTACTTGACAAAAAGAATAGATTGTTCAAGAATAAAGTGTTCAACGTTCAGGGATGGATGAACACGAGGCTATGATGAGAGTTTTGTGTAGTTGAGTTTTAGTGGTTGAATAAATACCAAATTGTGAAATCAGTGAATAATTGTTTAAATCATTGTCATTTCAATCTCAATCAAAACAATCGTGATTATTATTCTTGGCATGATTGTCTAGCCCTACTATCAGCTGAATGCCAGATGTGAGTGTACATACTATATGATGATGCTTTTTTTCCTGACTGGTAGTACATTTCTTGGTGTCTTGTGGTGGGCAAGAGTTGATAGTGACGTTGCGTTTTGATACTATAATGTCAGCTCTTACTATCACTGTGAAGCAGAATTCACCAAGCGTTGGGTTGTTTGCCCACGAATAGGGAATATGAGCTGAGGTTAGACCGTCGTGAGACATGGTTCTTAGGCCTTTTCACACGGAGGGGTGTCGACAAACCCATTCATTGTGTATGTGCTATGAGGACAGAATGAGTCACGTTGCAGTGCAAAGCACAAGATCGACACATGCTGTGATGGGACATAAAATCTTCCAATTCGAGCCCACCGCAGTGACGTCAGAAGGTGCATTTGCTAAGAGAGGGGCTGGCAGAGTGATTTCAGAGCGCTAATGGCAATAGTCCAACCAGCAAGAAAAGCTTTCCTGTGACTTAGTGGTAAAATGCTATGCAGGCACTTGCGCGCTGATGGCGCAGCAAACGCCAAGATGACTAAGTGCAGAGGGAAAGGGGCTTCACCCTGCTGATGTATTGCAAATATAAACATAAAAGCCGTCAAGATATACCTTAAATATGACTGCGTACAGTTAGCTTACTTGTAGCTGCAATTGCTACTTTGAAGTTTCATGCTAGTGCTGTCCAAATGTGCTGGTGATGTCATGTAGTTAAATATTACTTATAAAACAAGTCCTCAGAGCTGATGGGGAGGCGGGTAACCTTTGTAAAGTTTATGCCATTATCCTTCACAAAATATGCCCGAACGTAGCATATTTCTATTTCAGAATTGGTTCTGGTTCTGCTTATGATTTTCTCAAAAAATAACCTGATGCCATTATTTCTCACCTCTTCTAAGGTTGGCCAGTGATGCATGGTTTTACTTTGCATAAGATATACCCATCTTGTTGATCGGCCATTTTTCTTGTGTTGAGTCAGTGTGTACCAACCACAAAATAGGCAGGTACTTGAATAATGAGTAGTGCATCTACATCACCTAAATAGGAACAGCTTGTTTTGTTCCCCTTTGCAATTCAAACGGCTCTTGTGTACAATCGGCAAACTGCATAGATGTCAAACATAAACCACGTGACAATCTCATTATCACTGATAATATGCATAAAACAATGGAAATTTGGGGATTTTAATGGCATTGGACTTTTAAATGATAATAACTGAAAAACCCATGTTATGGTTGTCAGATTAAAAATCATGTACTTTATATTCACCCTGAAGCCTTAGTCTGTCCTGGATTCTGTATGCCAGCTAAAATCGAGTCTAAATGAGCACACCAGTTGCATGCTTCTTTTTTACCATCTGTGCATAAAGAAGACCCAAACCTTGTCCCTCAGGACTTGGGGCTTTTTGGAGGTTTTGTTGATGTTGTTTTGGCAGATTTTGCTTTGAATGTATTTCCATCAAGAGTGGTTCTCCTTTGAACGCCTACCAGCCAACTACTTTACAAAGTAATGAAAAGAATCTTACCTGGCCAGCTCAAACAGTACCAACTGCCATATTCCTAAACCTATTTATTTATATATTTATGTATTTGCATCGAAAAAGGAGAATGTGCTGTGGTACTCAGTGTTGTTGATGAGTTAAAAGACACACAAATGTTCCAACTCAAGCAGCCAAGGAGAGACAAAGCACTCTATGTGTGTGAAAAAAGCAGCACTAATGTGCAGGTTAGGCAAATTTGGCAAGAGAACAACTGACAACCTTCCGTCTTTAAATTGCCCTCCTGCTGTGTAGCGAGTTCGGCTGTCAGTGTGATGTGTGTTTTCGCGTTATTATACTGCAGATAAACGCATTATGAAGTCCAAATTACAAGATGTGTCAAAAATGCTCAATGACTATTGACACAAAAGGTACACTGTATGTGTAATTGTATTACAAAATACATTTTTCCCTTCGACGTAATCCAATGCACTTTCCCAGCCTTCTCTATTATACCTTCCAGCACTCCTGGAAGGAATCTCGTGGGATTGTCCACAGCTCTTTCGTCACACCATCTTAATGTTTCCCATCTCTTCAATTATGGTCCCATTGATAGTTCCCTTGAGCTTGTAAAAGAGGGGCTGGGGCTAGGGGGGCGGGGGTCGGGGCTGAGATTAAAAAAAATAAAAATAAAAATCTCATGAAACCAAGTTGGACGAGTAGCTCCAGCTCAGCAATGACATTCCCGCCCAGGAACTGTCAGATGGAATTGTGAGCAGACACATTGTTATGGCTGCCACAACGTTCACCTCTTCTCACGCACTAAACCAGGGGTTGGCTCCAGACATTTTTTTTTTTGTCCTATATGGCTCTTTCAACATTTTGGGTTGCCGACCCCTGCACTGAACGAAGCGAATGTCAAAGGATCTCCTTGTAGATGTGGTGGTTGGTCATCAAGCCCACACTGAGGGGCATAACTTGTGTTTGTAATTTGGGTTTGAAATTTACAGCATCTGTTGTGTTACGACTCCTGGAGGATTTCTGACACACCGTGTCCCATTAAGAAGCACATAAAACTTGACACAAGGGAAACACAGTCAATGAAGGAACTCTAATGACCACTCAATATGGTCATTAAGTAGATTAATCATCATAGGGTGACTTTGCCCAAACTGACATGGCGGATGGATTGTTTCATAAATTCATGGTAACGAGGGGTCAAAAACTATTACAGGCATGGCATGTACTTTAAGGAAATCTGGTGATTGACCACTGTACTGTAATCGGGGAGGGGGTGGTTTTCAATACATGAAAATGACAAACAAAAGGTTTAAATGAAACAAGTATTAGTCACATCACATCACACATTCCCAACATCACAGATTCACACTCCACTGTGAGGAACATTAACATGGGGAGGGGGAGATAAATGTTTGGAAAATGTAGGGATGGGCGCACTGATAACCATTAGCTCCAGAATGTTGTCTCTGGAGAGTCGTAAAAAGTTACAGATATCATTGAAGATGGTGCTGTGTGGTGCACTATATGGCAGTGGTCCCGAACCTTTTTTGTGTCTCGGATCAGTTGAAACAAGTATATATTTTTCACGGACCGGCAACCATTGCTTTTATATTGGTAGTTTTAAAGCACAGGTACTGACAACAAAGATAGTTATAGGGTAACTCAACATTTTTTTCATTCCTCTCAAACTGTTTTATTCACTACTACCACAAATGTAGAATAACACAGTAAACTACTAAGAAATGGACCAATCGGGAATTATAAATACACCTTATAAGGTAAACGTAATAATATTGAAGTTACGATCCTACATCTGGCATTTGCGTCATTACTACTTGCAAACGTGACTGACCAAAACAATTGATTGCTACTTTCATGCGGTGACTGCCGGCTAGTTAGGAGCGAGTAAACTGCTAATGTTTACGTGTTCGCATTTCCATGCTTTCCGCGTGATGACTTGGGTGCTACTTGTTCAAATAACTCAACAGGTTTATTGTCTCGCCTTGTTTTTGACATTATACCACATGCAACAGCTTCCTCCTCCACGTCGCCAGGGAAGGAACTTCTCTTGTCTAAATCTCTTCATTTTAGGAAGTCATTGCTGCCCATCAACTGTGTGTTTAGCTGTATGTTTGGTCAATTTGTTACGATTACTTTCTGTGTACTGCTGCTTCTTTCATTTATTGGGCGATTCTGTTTATTTGAACTTGCAAACCAATGTTAGGAGGAGAATTCCGACTGGCTAGTGCTGCGCACATTTCCGCAACGTCTGCTAACAGCTTGCAGGTCTGTCTCTGTGCGGCCCGGTCCAAAATGGCCGAGGCCCGGTACTGGTCTGCAGACTGGCGGTTGCGGACCATTGATATATGGGACAGGCAAAACCATATGTTGGTAAACTCTGAAGAACCAAGTATGATTTATATTCACAGCTTCTTCCATCCATCCATTATCTGAACTGCTTTATCCTCACGTCTTGTAGCCTATCCCAGCCATCTTCCTGCAGTAGGTGGGGTACACCCTGAAATGGTTGCCAGCCAATCGCAGGGCACACATAAACAAACAATAACCATTCATACTCACAATCACACCAATGGATAATTTTGACAGAATCAATTAACCCACCATGCAAGTTTTTGTAATGAGGGAGGAAAGCAGAGTACCCAGAGGAAACCCACGCAGGCACAGGGCGAACAGAGAAAACCCACACAGGAACGGAGTGAACATGCAAACTACACATCGGAAGGCCGGAGGCTGAAATTGAACCCTGGACCTCTGGACTGTGAGGCGGATGTTTTAACCAGTCGATCAACGTGCCGCTCATCCACAGTCTCTTATCAATTATAAATGGAACACCATCATTAAAAGTTATGCGATGCTCATAATCACTGCTGCCATCGTAATCATCAGTGAGACTATCAAGCTAATAACAGAGTAGGAGATCATAAGAGATCAATCGTTGCCCATCCCTACCATGCATGGGGGTGAGACAAGGGAGGCAAGGGTGTGTATGTACCTCTCTCGGTGTAGTGGGTACATTTTATTGCTGGAAGGCAACTCCTCTTCAGCATGATCAGAAGAAAGTCAAGCAAACAGGGTGAAAGAAGTTAAGATTGTTAGGCAAAGAATAACATTCACACACACGGTCCAGAAATATACAGTGGAACCTCTAAATTCAAATGCCTCAGCAGTTATACAGCCTCAAAAGTCACTCAAAAATATGAGGCATCATGCATAACTTCATGCAAAATTCCAAATTATTTCTCACAATACTTTGTTAAAGGTCACCTCCACTATACAGCCATACAACCGGTAACAAAACGTATTGTGAAATAGGAAAGCAGTATAGACTGTACATAAGAACAACACGTTTCTTTGTACAATGTAACATTCACAACAGTGCAGTACTGTTAAAACTGTGACACCATCATTGCACACAAATCTCTCAAATATTGGCATATTGTATCTAAATTTTTTTTTCAACTTACCCCATAAATTGGATTTTAATTGGCACACCAAAAAAAATGTCATCCGTGTGAATGACTTGCCTTTAGCAAACCTCCACACTCCACCATGCATCCGAGCAGAAAGTAATGAGCCCTTTTATTTTGTTTTATTATGCAGTGCTTTCTATTATACTAACAGTTAGGATTGAAGAAATGTATCTTAACTCAACTCAACTGTATTTATATAGCACTTTAAAACAACCACTGCTGTATACCAAGTGCGGTTCATGTCATTGTCAGTCAGAAAGCTTCTCTCATTGGCTACATTCCATCATGACACAGTTTGCAGAGTCACCTCGCTCAGAGGAACTTGGCTACCCCCACAGAGATTTGTGGGCGAAATTATTGAACATGTTCATTATTTACGACATATGATTGTTGGCCATGTGACGTCTTTGGAGAAGGGGCAAAATTGGGACAAAAACAGCCGAACTGTCTTCATGTGTGTACCTGGCCTTAAACAACTGAATGTCAATGCTGGCTGACATTTGCCTTGTTGGGACGTGAGGTGGCATTCACAAATGGCAGGGGATGTGGATTATCTGTTAATGCGTTTAATGTTTGTGGTTAGAAATCCAACATGATGTAAGAGGGTCTATGGAGGCTGCGTTTGTACTGTATGGTGGAGCGCTAACTTGTCTTGATTTGTTAAATATAAAACGGGAAGAAATAGTACTAGTAGCACTACACTTGAATCATCAGAAGTGGCAAATAAAATCACATTGCCAAACAAAACTAGATGTGATTGCATTCAATTGTGCCCATGTGACGTTTGAGTTATGATTATGGAGGAAATTGATATACTACAGAGGGTGACCGTGTGTTTGAACCAAATTATTGGCAGCAAACATAAGCCAAACCAAATATACCCGCTACAGCTGAAGAGATACACAGCACAGCTTGAGCTTCCCCATGCAAATACACCAAGTATCCACTTTACAGCAAAGCGCTCCAATAGTGTTTGAGTGTGTGCAGTGAATGCAAATAGAGGAATAGAAAACAGGAAATTAGTGTAGTTGCTGTGAACTGCACACATGCGTACGTAACCTCAGCTTGTGTGTTTCATCAACATGACAATGAAGTTGGAGCAATGCGAATCCATGTTAAAACCCTGAAAGTCCCTAACATGGTAAATACTTCTCCGTCAGTCAGTCAGGAAAGTATACTTGACTTTCGTGCTGGTAACGCGGGTCGAACTGTATGAAACCAGGTCAAAGCTATTAAATTTACAAACGCAAACGACGAAAAATAGAGATGCGTGCAAGGTCGTGCTAATTTCCAACCGATGAATTCACTGTTATAACGTCCTCCATTGGAGCATTATAGCCCAGAATACAACAGTGGAGGCAACATAAGGCGTCAAACTTACCCCATGCTCCGAGGGTCTTCAAATGAGAACTAAGAATCACTTCCGACTCCCCCAGTTTTCTTCCGACAGGAACTCCTCTCTTCTCAAATCAGTTGTCGTCCAGCCTGCTTCCCTTTGTCCGCGGCTTTCCTCAGCCAACAACGCCGCGGCTTTGACTCCGTGCGTAATTACGCACCTGGAACTGTTTGATAGCTCTAGTATCCACACTGAGAGAAGAAAGCCGACGAAAGCCGGGAAAGCGAGCGCTTTTAGTCAAAGTTCCTCCGCGACTTGAGCTCGGTTCTTCACCCGCCTCTCTGCTAAGTCACACTGGGATCCCACTAACACACATTGGTGGGACCTTGGAGTATATCAGTGCCATCTACTGGTCCAATAGCGAAAAAGCACGAAACACCCCGCCCCCAATTCCATCTCTCGCGTCAGAGCCGAAGAGCAAGAGGTACACCCCCGAAACATCCATCCATCCATCCATCCACCACAGGGTCGCCGGGAGTTGCTGGGGCCAATCCCAGCGGACTAAGGGCAGACTACAAACTGAACTGGTGGACAGTCAGTCGCAGGGCACATATACAGACAAACAATCATTCACGCTCACATCCACACCGTCACTGAGTGAGAACCGATCCCATGCTGCCCGAACACAGGTCAAGCGAGTGTACCACTCCACCATGAGCGACTTCACCCACAAATAAATCAAATGAAATTCCAAAGATGTGTACCCCACTTCTGCTTTTATAAGTATGTAAGTTTATGTTAAATTATTAATTATTTTCATTTTATATTTGAGCATTATATTATTTTGTGTTACAGTTACCTAGGTTATATTCCGTTTAATAATTGCTTAAACAAGTTTATGTTGATATTATCTGATTGGTTAAGGAAACCAGGATGTGTTTTGTGTTACCGGGAAGGAGGTGTGTTCTCGTTCCTCCGTTCGGAGGTGCAGGCGTTTTTTTTTTTGCTTTCTCCTTTTAATAAACTGCATTAAAGGATTCCATCTCTCCATCTGTCATTCGTGACTAAGAGTCATCCACTGAAAAACAACGAACCCCTCAACTTACAAGTATAATAAAGAATAACTTGTCTGAGAGGTGATAATTTCAAAATGTATTTAGTATGTTGCTTGTATGTTGCAGCTGTAAAACTGCACAGCGTCAAACTGAACGCTATCCATGTTTTATTTTCCTTATTTAACGACTCGGGGATATTAGAAAAAGCTGTCAGTATGACACATAGTTCTACAGCACTGTCAACCTAGTTAGATAGATAGATAGATAGATAGATAGATAGATAGATAGATAGATAGATAGATAGATAGATAGATAGATAGATAGATAGATAGATAGATTTATGAATCACCAACTAATGGGTTATCAAATTAATTGATAGTTATTTTTGATAACATTTTTTTTAAATTTTGATCATGAATCACAAATGATTGTATAGCTTTTTTATTTGAAATTGTCCACATCATCTGAATTTCAGATTCTCAACAATTGATAATCTCTGATTTCTGTTTGTCCTCCATGAAAACAGATTGATTATGGTTGTGCTGAATCAAAATAAAACAGTTGATTTTATTTTGGAATTTTACTGACATTTTATGGACCAAACCAGTAATAGAACCATAAATAATTTATGTGTGCATTTTCCTCAGCGTCCATTTGTAATAATGTCCTGTTTTTTCATAAACGGATAGATATTAAAACATACTTTTTTATCCGATCCATTGTTTATTCGATAAAATAATCAACAGATTAACAGTTTAAAAAAGTAATCGTTAGTTCCTGTCCTAATTTCAACCGCAATGAATACAACAAAATAAATGATGGGGGTGGGGAAGGGATTGGATTCAGGCAGTCTTTGACTCATTCTTTATTTAATATTCACAGCTCATTTCCTCCCCCCATGATCATTCCAGTTGAGAGGTGCTTTAAAAGAATTAGCCACAGCTTATTTAATATGATTTGGAGGCACAAGTGACTTCTGTGTCTTGGCGCAAAGCAGAAGAACAGAGTCAAATGACTTTACAATGACTTTTTTTTTTCTCCGTGTTTTTTTTTCTTTGCATGAGGTCTTGTTTACAATATTCAGGAGGACAAACCGAACCAGCTGCCCTCTGATGCCCACCTGCAGCCAAGTGTGATGACACAAATGTGTCTTTTTGGTGAGAATGTAAAACAAAAAGATGATGAAGAAAAAAGTCAATAGCACGCATGAGCTGAAAAAAGACCTAATTGCAGTTATAATTTCAGATCAAACTTCACAATGAAACTTGATGTCTTTCAGCATAAATAAGTAAAATACAGCGTGAGCAGATGATGTTATGGCAGTAAAAAGGCATTTCAACTGGCAAGTGTACCAATTTAGCTGCATGTTCTTTCATTAGTTTACAAATCAAATGAATCTCTCACAAAATCACAGAATCCCTGCACACCATGGAATATTATATGTGAGAGGTTTGATTCAAAATGTTCTGTGTTGGGACCTTAAGCCGAGGACCCATTATGTATGGAAAAACATTTTATTTTGTAACCTTGATATCCACCATGTTTCACTAGTTAACAAGTAAAAAAGGTAAAAAAAGAGCCCAACTAGTGTAACTAGGGGATATCTTTGCATTGACTAGTTAACTAGCTAAATTTTTAGCCTCTCTATAACTTGTAAGGTCAAAATAAATTGTAACCACTTCGGTAGTTTGGATTTCTGCATACACCCATCAACTTGTAACCCATTGTCGGCAGCCTTTTGTGAACTAGGTGCAAATCCTCAGGACAAATTGTCAACTAGTGTAAAACATGAAAGTAAAGTGGGTAGGAGAATGACAAACCTGAATCCTATTTTAACTGTAGATCCAATAGGAATCCTGGACGCACAAGTCGGCCTCACCTCCTCATTGTTTTTTTGCATAACTAGTTGACTAGTGGCTCTGGGGTCCAGTGGTCAGTGCGTCGACCTCACAGTGCAGAGGTCGTGGGTTCGATCAAGGCTCTAGTCTTCCTGTGTGGAGTTTGCATGTTCTCCCCGTGCCAGCGTCCTCCCAGGTTCCAAAAACATGCAGGGCAGGATGATTGAACACTCTAAATTGTCCCTAGGTGTGAGTGTGAGCGTGGATGGTTGTTCGTCTTTGTGTGCCCTGCGATTGGCTGGCAAGTGGTTCAGGGTGTCCCCCGCCTACTGCCCAAAGACAGCCGAGATGGGTCTCCAGCACGCCCCGCGGCCCTTGTGAGGATAAAGCGGATCAGAAAATGGATGGATGGATGGATAGTTGACTAGTGAGCAGGTTGGCATCCAGTCGTTCTATTAGTGAACATTTTGGACCTCATTCGTGCAACTAGTTAAGTCAAAATGTCACAATAGTGTAACTAGTAGATATTTGGGGTATCTCTGGTTAATGAGGAACCTTTTTGAGACTCGCTAGTTAAATCTCGCAATCGACTGGTTAGCATGTCGGCCTCACAGTGCAGTAGTGCAGGGTTCCATTCAGGCTCCAGCCTTCCTGTGTGGAGTTTGTATGTTCTCCCCGTGCCTGCGTGGGTTTTCTCTGGGTACTCTGGTTTCCTCCCACATTCCAAAAACATGCACCATAGGTTAATGGAACACTCTAAATTGTCCCAAGGTATGACTGTGAGTGCGCATGGTTGTTCGTCTTTGTGTGCCCTGTGATTGGTTGGCAACCAGTTCAAGGTGTAACCCGCGTACTGCCCGATGACGGCTGGGATAGGGTCCAGCATGCCCGCAACCCTCATGAGGATAAGCGGATTGGAAAATTGATGGATGGATGGATGGATGGATAGTGAAATATCAAGGCTTCAAGGGGTTAAAACTAGGTAACTAGTCAGTGTTTTATCCGTCACTAGTTAACCAGTATTTCATAACACACAAGTTAACTAGTGCATGAAATCATGGGTCACTAGTTAACATTTTAGAATAATCCATGTTTGACTAGTTGACAAGTTGCCGAAAATTAGTGACTAGTCAGAGTTTGTATGCAACTAGTACGACAAGGTGCATAACTAGGGTGGGTGAGTGTCCAACTAGTGCTGAAAAAGACCGAACTAGTGCAATACCAGCTGCATCACCGTGTGGTACGGTGCTTGCACGGTGTCCTGCCGAGAGATTCTGCAGCGCGTTGATACAGCAGCTGAGAAGATCAGAAGTGTCTCTCTTCCCCCACTCGTGGACATCTACAACTCTCGTCTGACCTGCAAACCCATCCAGATTGCAGGTGACCCGACCCACCCATCTGACACCCTCTTCAACTTGTTGCCCTTGATAGTCTGTTTATTGCTATTTATTGTTTTATTTGTTTATATTTATATATTTATGTCTTTTTATGCACTTCAGTGTTGCTGCCCTTATTTTTAGCTGTGTGTGTTTCAATGCGCTGCATTTTTGCACTGGTTGAGACAAAAGTAATTTCATCTGTGCTGTATGTTGCACATAGAGCATATTTGACAATAAAGCTTGACTTGACACTAATATCAGATATCAAAGATATGTAATATAAATGCTCGGAGGTACATGAGCCCTGGCGACATGGATATCAAGACTATCCCATAAACTGCGTTTGCTTTCTGTGAAATTGAGAATCGGGATCTGATTCATCCCGGTTAATATCCTGGCTTTCGGATTCATGTTGCGCCACCAAGCGACCGGAAACTGTCAAGACATCAGGAGGGCGGGCACTCAAGGCTGTTGCGAGCTGTCGTCACCGATCACAACAGGCGTCAACAGTCGATCGCTTTACCCAGTTCAAGCTTGAGAAGTAGTGATGGGAATTCCGGCTCTTTTTAGAGAGCCGGTTCTTTTGGCTCGGCTCACTAAAAAGAGCCGGCTCTTTCGGCTCCCAAATGGCTCCTCAGTTTTTTTGTTGCTTAAATTAATTTAATACCAAAAATAATGTAAAATTATGTGTAAAATGAATTACGAATGTAAAAAATATACAGTATATCAAATATTTATTATTTATATGGCTTTATTTATATTCTTCTGAACATACTCAACATGGCGTACAACATGGAGTGCTACAAAAAAATAAATTACAAAGTACAAAAACAAAGACCCATCTCAAAAAAAGGTCAACAAAAAGTTCCAATCTCTGATTGTGCATATTTATAAGTGTTTAAATATTTACAGTAAAACAACATAAGTAAGCTTTGATTACCAAACAACAAATGATAAATTAATATTTGATATTGGACATTTTAACCTTGCACAGTCTACACGCTGCCTTTGAACTATCAATTAAGTTGAAATCAGTCCAAATTTCACTGCGTTTCCTATCCATTTTCTCACCTTTCCACTTTCCACCGTGTAGTTTTTTCTCTGTACTCAAGCGCTATCGAGCTCTCTCTCGTCTCCCTGTCTCACCTGTTCGTGTGCTGCTCAGTGCTCACAGGGTGCTGCTGTGTCTCCCCTTCTACCTCGGATCTTGACCAATCACGTGCGGTTTTAACCGAAAGGGGGAAAAAACAGGAGGAAAAAAAAAAGTCGGCCCCCATTAAAGCGGCTCCCTCTTAGGAGCCGGCTCATGTCGTTCACTTCAAAGAGCCGGCTCTAAGAGCCGGCTCGTTCGCGAACGACACATCACTATTGAGAAGCAGTCCGTGACGACTCAGCGCTCTGAGTTTGAATGCCATACATTGAGAGCGTTTCCCATCAAATCTCTGATGATATATTGCAGCAAAATGCTCAATGAGTTTTCACGTGTGCTAGAAAATGGCGAAGTCGGATGGTGGCGCTATCGCAGTGATACATTCGCAGAACAGGTGAGTGAGTCGGTGAAATGTTGGAGCTATTCCTCGGGGTCGTTGTTGGTTATTTCGGCGTCCCCTTGACTCGACCCGCCTTCGAGCCAGAGCGAGAATACAGGAAAGACCGAGGATCTATCCGGGGCCTCTATTCTCCACTGTTGAGGTTAGGCTCGGAAGAGCAGGAGATATTGATTGTCGAGGATCGTAAAACAGTTACGGTGCGTTCGTACGAATTGATATGACTATAATAGTATCTTAAACAAACATGTAAATAGTAGAATCACAAGTTAGGACCTAACTTAAGAGCAACATTTGTTTGCATTTCCCCTGTACAGTATTGTTAATTTTTTATGTTGCCCACATGAATTATTAAAGATGAAAGATAATAGTGGGTAATGAAAATACAGCTGTTACCAAGCGTCGTCCTCTTAGAATAATGACATAAGTCATTCAAGCCTGAAGCGTCTCCTCAGGATGCTGGCCACCTATGCTAAAATCAACCACATCCTGGGTTAAACAGATCATTCAATCCCACATCTAAAATTACATTATTAACAAATACAATATAATCGGTATTTGGTTCGGTTTTATTCGTGTTTTTTGGAAAAAAATTGAAACAATTACTTTGGTCATTATATTAGGAAGGTGAATTTGTACAGCAATATTGGTGTTATCAAGATATTTATTTCTACATGGTTGTAACATTCCCTTATTCACTGAGTGACACTGTGTAGTAATACAAAATAATGATTACTGATCTACTGTACAGCCCACTCATCAAATTTGGATAATTATTGCTCATGAAATTGTAATGACAGAGTTGTATTTTCATCCACTGTATGCAAAATTCCATTGTCGGGGCAGATCTAAAATAGTGTCCAAATTCATGTGAGAATCTGAAAGTTATATCTGAGAAAAGTTGAGGATCCCTTGTTTCACTCATAGTGACAAAGCCCTTTTCTGTTTCAGTATGGCTAGCAAGAATTGCACCCTCCGCTGCACGTTTTCAGCACCCAGCCACAGTGCTACTCTCCTCCAGGGCTTGTCAATATTGAGGGCTCAAGGCCAACTTCTTGACGTGGTGCTGGCCATCAATGAGGAGCGCTTCCAGGTCCACAAAGCTGTGCTGGCCGCTTGTAGTGATTACTTCAGGTCAGTGTGGACCACAGGACTATTTCAGATTCCATTTACATTTTAAATTCAAATTGATTTCCGCACTCAGAGCAAAGCACAACTAGACTGAAAGCAATATGGTGGGGAGAGAAAGGTAATGCATTGGAAAATATCAGACACATAAGAATTTCAAAATATTTCTCAGAACACCGTTTGATAGTACAGGCCCTGGGAAAAAAAATGGAATCACAAGTCTAAGAGGATGTTTATTCAGTTGTTTAAATTTGTAGAAAAGAAGCAGATCACAGACAGAACACAAAACTAAAGTCATTTCAAATGGCAACTTTATGATTTTAAGAAACACAAGAAATCAAGAAAAAAATGTGAGCAGTAACAGTTAGATTTTTTGACTAAGCAGAGGGAAAAAAATGCAATCACTCAATTCAGAGGAAAATATGGAATCACCATGTAAATTTCCTTTTCCAAACATAACACATCCATTAGATTAAATCTGATCATTAGTCTGCAGTTAAATGGGAGTTATCATACCTTGAAGAGCTGTTGCACCTAGTGGACTGATATGAACGAACATGAATCATGACTCCAACACAAGAGGTGTCAATTGAAACAATGAGAGAATTATCCAACTTCTTCAAGAAGGTAAATCATCACGCAATTTCGCAAAAGATGTTCGTTGCTCACAGTCAACTGTGTCTGAAATCTGGAACAAGTACAAAGAACATGGGAAAGTTGCTCAAGGCAAGCATACTTCAAACATCGGGTTTGGGGGCAGAAATCCGTGTGCTGTCTTAACCCGTGGGATGATTCAGCACCATGTAGAGAAGATTTCAGGTCCTTGTGAAAAGGTGGATAATACCCAGACTGTTTTCTTATCATTGAGAACTTTGTTAAAGAAAGTAGCTTTTAGAGTGTGATTTCAGACGAAATGTTGTGAAAGATTTAACGTTTGCACTTGTGTTTATGTTGCAGAGCCATGTTCACTGGCGGCATGAAGGAGTCGAATCAAAATACCATTGAGCTGGAAGGTTTGTCTGCCCGGGGCCTGAAGCATATTATTGACTTTGCTTACAGTTCGGAAGTCACTTTAGATCTGGACTGCATTCAGGATGTCCTTGGAGCAGCTGTCTTCCTCCAGATGGTCCCTGTTGTTGAATTCTGTGAAGAGTTCCTCCACTCAGCCATCAGTGTTAAGACATGCCTGCACATTGACCAGATGGCAACCACCTTCAGTTTGTCTTCCCTCAAGGCGTCGGTGGATGCCTTCACTTTTTGCCACTTCCTTCAAATAGCCGAGGAGGAGGACTTCCTGCACATTCCCATGGAGCGCCTCATCTTCTTTCTGCAGAGCAACAAGCTGAAAAATTGCCGCGAGATTGATCTCTTCCATGCAGCTATTCGATGGCTCCGACACGATGAGTCCCGTCGCACTCAAGCGAGCAATGTCCTCTGCCATGTGCGCTTCCCACTCATGCGTTCGTCTGAGCTGGTGGACAGTGTTCAGAGGGTAGACATCATGGTGGAGGACGTGCAGTGCCGCCAGTACCTCCTGGAGGCCTTCAATTACCAAATTCTTCCATTCCGACAGCATGAGATGCAGTCACCACGCACGCTCATTCGTTCTGATGTCATATCATTAATCACCTTTGGCGGGACCCCGTACACTGACAACGACCGCCTAGTAAGCACCAAGGTGTATTATCTCCCTGATCCTGCTTCCCGTCAGTTTAAGGAGTTGACCGAGATGGACACAGGGTGCAGCCACGCCTGCATCGCTGTCCTTGACAACTTTGTGTATGTTGTGGGTGGGCAGCATTTGCAGTATCGCAGTGGAGAAGGTGCCGTTGACAGCTGTATGCGCTTTGATCCGCACTTGAACCAGTGGCTCCGCATCCAACCAATGCAGGAGGCCCGCATCCAGTTTCTTCTCAATGTCTTGAACGGAAAACTGTATGCAACTGGAGGGCGCAATCGATCTGGCAGTCTGTCATCTGTGGAGTGCTACTGCCCAAAGAAAAATGAGTGGACCTACGTGGAGCCATTAAAACGCAGAATTTGGGGTCATGCAGGGACCCCGTGTGGAGAAAAGCTGTACATTTCCGGTGGTTATGGCGTCTCTTTGGATGACATGAAAATCCTACACTGTTATGACCCAGTGGCCGACCAGTGGAACTTCAGAGCGCCCATGAACGAACCTAGAGTGCTGCATGCCATGATATGCAGTCGAGATCGGGTCTATGCTTTGGGTGGACGTGTGGACCATGTGGACCGCTGTTTTGATGTGCTGGCTGTCGAGCATTACGATCCACAGAGTGACCAGTGGACAACCATCAGCCCCATGAGAGCAGGCCAGTCCGAGGCTGGCTGTTGCCTACTGAACGGAAAAATCTACATTGTCGGGGGCTACAACTGGCACTTGAACAATGTCACGAGCATCGTCCAGGTGTACAATACAGAGACTGATGAGTGGGAGAGAGATTTACATTTTCCCGAATCCTTAGCTGGGATTGCTTGTACACCAATCGTACTTCCGCAGACACACGTTGAATATCTGACCTCTTGGATGTGAAAATCTGCGTTATTCAGGCTCCTATAATTCAAGACAAGGACCGTAAAATGGTAGGCATGGGATGAAGTGAGTTCAATTTGATCACAACATGGAACTTCACGGCACAATACAGTTCGATGCTGCGTTCGTACATCATTACTTGACATCGCCACACGTGTTACTTCCTTTTGTTGGAGTTAACGTTTTGATCATTTCACATTTGATTTGTGGCAAATTGATATTCCATCGAGGTGGAAGCCCCGACGAGACCCACGGTGGATGTATTTCCGGGAAGGACGAAGGGCAATGTCCGGGAAGTGGAGCCCAACCACTTGGAGCGGAGCCTGAGAAGCTCTGTCACTGAGTACTGTGGCAGTCCTTCCACAGGTCGATGGAGGAGCGACAGGATGGGCCAGAGCAGTAAGGCCCAGACATCGGCCCTGTTGACCCTCATCATGGGGTACAGAGGGGTTGAGATGGCACGGGGCCTCATTTGAGAGACGAACATGTAAGACGCTGTGACAGCGCGATTAAGAACAATCGCATGACGATTGATGGTTTAAAATCACAATGAATTGGGACAGGAGCGTAGGGTTTTTCTTATGACGACAGTAAACCGTAAAAGACGCTAAAAATTGCGGGTGAGCAGTGGCAGCCAGACGCGCCAGCTTTCACTCAACTCACGGAAGAGGGTGTTTTGTTTGCATTGAGCATCCACGCTTTGCACACAGCACAGAGTATGAGTTTGAAGTGTAGCAGACCCTCAAGTGACACCATGAAAAAATATTTAACAAGGATGAGAAGACAGGCAGAGAGAGATGGAGATAACGGGACAAACGAAAGTCTCCCTTTCGGACAAACGAAAGTCTCCCGAAAGGTAAGACTAGGAAATATGACGAAGCGTATGTAGCGCTTGGCCAGCATGAAGCCAAATAATTTAAGGCGTCAAAGACATTACACCCCAATCACGCTGTTAAGCTGCTTGAGTTTTTCCAGCGAAAACGTGCCGAATAAAACAATCATCCCGCTTTGTGACTGCTGCTTCAGTAAACCAGCGAGCGTTGTACTTGTGTGAGACTGGCTTCTCTGCTGTTGCTGCTCTGAAAAGCAAATACAGGTCCAGGCTACACATTGAGCAGGAACTGGGAGTTGCTGTGTCCTGCTTCAAACCTCGCTTCCAAAATCTGTGCATTACAAAACATGCTCATTGTAGCCATTAATCCAGACATCATCTTTGAGTTTAAAAAAAATCAGCACAAATTATATTTTTGTTTTGCAGGTTAGGTTTTTTTTTTAAATATTTTGCTCCTGAGTAAATGTTGGTGATAAGTTTGAATGCATTATTTATTGATTTTATGTACTTTTATTTTTCAGTATCGTATGGTTTGACATGGTCAGTCAAAAAATGTTTATAGTTTAATTCAGGATTTTATTTTATTTTTGAATTTCAGATGCACTTTAAATCTTTTCTGTTTCAATTAATAAAGCTATTCTTTGTTTTAAGTTGGTCCATATTTCTTTTTTAAATTCTCTCTCCATCTTTAATATAAGCTGGCTCGAAGCATGGTGCCCACAGCTGTGGAGAAGTGGTGTCATCCTCCCCTTCCACAAAAAGGGTAAAGATCCACAGGTGATTGGCTCATACTGCCCGATAGCCAGTGACAATTTAACAGTTTAAGTGTGCAATTGTGCAGATGTCCTTGAGCGCTTTAAAGTGTCTGGTGCGGTGGAGTATACATCAGTGACAGTGTTTCAAGTAAGTACAGAGCAGGAGCTACAATGATTATAGCGGTTATGCTGTTCCACAGGGTTGTGCAAAATTGCAAAGAGCCACTATACAGGTAGATTTGGGTTACTGTTTAGGGAGTTAATGGCTAGAGGGAAGAAGCTGTTTATAAGTGTCTGCTGGATTTGGTGCACATGGATCGGAAGTGCCTGCCTGAGGGGAGTAGGTGGAAAAGGTGGTGGGCAGGGTGCGGGGTATCAAGTAGGATTTTCCGTGCCCTTGTCTTGATTCTTGCAGTGTGCAAGTCCTCAAGAGTGGGTAGGGCGGTGCCAATGATTTTTTCCGCCGTCCTAACTGTCCGTTGAAGTCGGATTTTGTCCTTTTTTGTGCCGGGCCCAAACCAAACCGTGATGTAAGAACACAGGATTGATTCGATGACTGCCGTGTAGAGCTGCCGTAGCACCTCCTGTGGCAGGCCATGCTTCCTCAGCAGCCTCAGGAAGTACATCCTCTGCTGAGCCATTTTCAGGATGGAGTTGGTGTTGACCTCCCAGTTCATGTCCTGGGAGACTGTGATTCCCAGGAACTTGAAGGTCTCGACGGTTGACACAGGGCAGTTGGATAGTGTGAGGGGCAGATGTGGTGAAGGATGTTTCCTGAAGTCCACGATCATCTCTACAGTCTTGAGCGTGTTCAGCCCTAGGTTGTGTCGTCTGCACCAGAGCTCCAGCTGCTTGTCCACTTGTTGTCGGTACGCAGACTCGTCACCGTCTTTGATGAGACCGATGACCGTGGTATCGTCTACGAACTTTATGAGTTTGACAGCTGGGTTTGTTGAAGTGGAATCGTTCGTGTAGAGGGAGAAGAGCAGTGGAGAGAAGACGTATCCCTGTGGGGCTCCAGTGCTAGTAGTGTGTGTTGATAATGTTGTTCTTCCTAGTCTCACCATTTGTGTCCGTCCCGTCAGGAAACGGAGGATCCACTGGCAGATCGTAGGGGACACACCGAGCTGGAGAAGTTTGGGGGTGAGGAGTTCTGGGATGATGGTGTTGAACGCAGAGCTGAAATCCACAAAAAGGATCCTTGCGTAGGTCCCTGTGCTGTCGAGGTGCTCGAGGATGTAGTGCGGGCCTATGTTGACTGCGTCCTCCACGGACCTGTTTGCCCGGTAGGCAAACTGAAGAGGGTCCAGCAGGGGTCCGGTGACATTCTTTAGGTGGTTCAGCACAAGGCGTTCAAAGGACTTCATGACCACAGACGTCAAGAGTGACAGGCCTATAGTCGTTCAGTTCCGATGTTGCCGCCTTCTTGGGAACTGGGATGATGGTAGACTGTTTGAAGCAGGATGGGACCTCACACAGCTCCAGGGATCTGTTGAAGATTTGTGTGAAGACCGGAGCCAGCTGGTCAGCGCAGACTTTCAGGCAGGAGGGGGGCACTTTGTCGGGCCCCGCAGCTTTCTTGATCTTCTGCTGTTTGAAGAGCCGTCTCACGTCCTGTTCGTGGATCTGTAGGGGAGAGAATGAGGGTGGGGGCGTGGATAGAGTAGTTTCTGGTTGAGGTGGGTGAATCTGGGAAATGGGGGTGTCCTTTTCAAATCGGCATAAAAACATGCTTAGTTCATCAGCCAGACCCTTATTGTTCAGTTTGTGAGCGATGGCATTCTATAGTTTGTGATTGATTTCAGGCTCTTCCACACAGATGCAGAGTCGTTAGCAGAGAAATGTTTTTTCAGCCTCACTGTATAGCTTCTCTTTGTGATGTTAATTTCCTTTGTCAATTGGTTTCGGGCGTGTTTGTACAGTGCCCGATCGCCACTTCAAAATGCGGCCTCTTTCTCTTTTATAAGTTGACTGAGTTTGGGAGTGAACCATGGCTTGTTATTGTTGAAGGAGCAGAAGGACTTCGTTGGTACACACATGTCCTCACAGAAACTGATGTATGATGTTACAGTGTCTGTGTATTCATCCAGTGTGCCCGTTGAAGTTTCAAAGACGCCCCAATCAGTGCAGTCTAAGCATTCTTGTAGAGCTAGCTTTGCTTCATCGGTCCATTTCTTCACAGTCTTAACAACCGGTTTAACACATTTGAGTTTCTGTCTGTATGTAGGTATTAAGTGTATTAAATTGTGGTCAGAAAGACCCAATGCTGCGCGAGCGATCGATCAGTATGAACCTTTGAGTGTTGTATAGCAGTGGTCTAGAATGTTGCCTTCTCTGGTGAAACAGTCAATGTGCTGGTTATATGTGGGAAGTTACGGTTTAGATGCGCTCTATTAAAAACGCCCAAAATGATCAGGGGTGACTCTGGATATTTTAGTTCGAGTTTGTTTACTTGTTCAGCTAGCGTTTGTATCGCCATGTTAGCGTTAGCTTGTGGCGCAATGTAGACATCGACTCGTACAAAGGAGGTGAACTCATGTGGCGAGTAGAATGGCTTGCAGTTTAAAGACAGCGACTCCAAGTCCGGGCTGCAGTGTGCGTCGAGCTTCGTGACATCAGTGCATTATTCTCCGTTGATATAGAAGCAAATTCCACCACCTTTCGATTTCCCTGATAGCTCCGTGTTGCGATCGGCTCGGAGTAGGCGGAAGCCGGGTAGATGTAGCGCGGAATCCGGGTGGCGATCACTGAGCCAGGTTTCAGTGAAGCAGAGCGCAGCAGAACGTGCAACGGTTTTGTTGGTCTTTGTGAGGAGAAGTTCATCCATCTTGTTTGGCAGAGAACGTAGATTAGCAAGATAGATCGATCGGAGCAGGGTTCGAAATCCACGCTGCCGGAGCCTGACAAGCACGCCGGCTCGCTTCCCCCTTCTCTGACGGGGTTTCCATGCTCCGTACAGCGCAGCCGCTCCGCTCGCTATTAGCTCCGAAAAACCTTGTGGATTTTCGTGTGCTGGTGAAAAAAGTCTGAGCGTAGACTCCCCAATGCTAAGCAACTTTTCCCTCGTGTAAGTAAGTCGCGTAGGGTCGCCAAAAACGAAAATGACAAAAACGGCGAATACTAGGGAGCGCAAAACTGAGGCTTTCTCAAAGTCAACTTATTATCGCAAAAAACTATCCAACTTTATCTGCTTCCTCTGTGATAGCTCCGCGATAAACTTTCGCAACACTTGTTCGCAACACTTGTTTTAACGTTACACAACTTGGCAATCATCTGCTTTCCACGAGGTGAAGGCCGAGCTCTTCAATCTCGTCACGCGAGATTACTTAATGCAAGATCAAAACAACAATGGTGGCGATTGTCAAACTGCGATCATTGCGGGAAAAAAAGACGTACTGTAGCAGGCCTGAGGATTTCGGAAATTCACGGTAACCGTTTTTCGATTCTGTCGGATTACCCAATGAGAAACCACGGTAACTAATTTTGGGTTCCGTAAACGTTCATCATGGCAACCCATTTTTCTATTTTGACTGATATTCATAATCAAGAATTCTGATACTCAAAAGTATGTTTCAAGGGCAAATGTTTGAAAACTACTTATTAACATTGAACATTACATCAGCAGCTGTGTACTGCAGGATTATTCAACAAAATAAATGGATCAAAATATGTTGTACTCACATGGCATCATGACAACAGCATACCACAAAATCAGAGTATTTTTTTCCAGTCTCACACAGCAAAGATTAATTTACTGGTAATCATTAATACAAGTAAGTATTGATGTGGCTTGACATCCTCTTCCCAAGACGATGCATGTGTAATCTACTATCAATTTGACGAAAGAATCTACCACACGTCATCGTTAGTTCGACCGACAGTTAACATTAGCATTACTACACCTTGTGACGAATGTTTTATTCATAAAGTTACCATGCTACAACCAGTAAATTATAGAATAACCAAGACAATTACATAATATTTTTCATGGCGATTAACCTATAGAACCTATCGATCTAATG